GTAGAATTCTGCACTAAAATCATCTGACCTTAGGCTTTTTTGGTTGGGAGAATTTTAGTGACTACATCTATTTCACTAGGGCTTATAAGTCTGTTTAAATCACTTATCTGATCTTGATTTAACTTTGGCAAGTGGTGCATATCAAGACAATTATCCATTTCTTTTATACTTTCAAATTCAATGGAGCATTTTTTTTAATGTCTTTATGATGCCCTGGATTTACTTGGTGTCTGTTGTTATTTTCTCCCTTTCATTTCTGATTTTGTTAATTTGGATATACTCTCTGCCTTTTAGTTAATTTGGCTAAGGGTTTGTTGATCTTACTGATTTTCTCAAAGAACCAGTTCTTTGTTTCATTGATGCTTTGCATCTTCCTTCCTTCCTTCCTTCCCTCCTTCCTTCCTTCCTTCCTTCCTTCCTTCCTTGACTTCAGCCCCAAGTATGATTATTTCATGTGATCTACTCCTTTGGGGTGTACTTGCTTCTTTTTGTTCTAGAGCTTTCAGATGTGCTGTTAAATTGCTAATATGAGATCTCTCCAGTTTTGTTATATAACATTTAGTGCTATAAACTTTCCTTTTAGAAATCCCATAGATTTCATATGTTGTATATTAATTTTCATTCAATTCTAGAAAAACTTTCTGTCTTGACCTATTTTTCATTCAGTGGGAAGTTGTCTGGTTTCTATGAGTTTGTAAGCTTTCTGTTGTTTCTGTTGTTGTTGTTGTTATCCAGCTTTAATACGTGCTGACCTGCCAGGATGCAGTTATTTCAATTTTCTTCTATCTGTTGAGACTTGCTTTATGTCTTAGTATGTGGTTAATTTTGGAGAAAATTCCATGAGGTTCAGAGAAAAAGGTATGTTCTTTTGTGTTTGGTTGAATGTTCTGTAAATATCTGTTATGTCCATTTGGTTTATAATATCTGTTAGCGCCAGCATTTCTCTGTTTAGTTTTTGTCTGGATGACCTGTCTATTGGTGAGATTGGGGTATTGAAGTATCCCAATATCAGTGTGTAGGGGTTAATATGTTATTGAAGCTGTAGTAGTGTTTCTTTTACAAAATCTGGTACCCTTGTATTTATGGTATAAATGTTAAAAATTGAAATATCATCTTGGTGGATTTTTCCTTTGAGTATGTAGTGTCCTTCCCTGCCTCTTCGGATTTGTCTTGGTTTGAAGTCTCACTTGATAGAAATTAAAATGCCTATAACAGCTTGCTTTATAGGTCTATTTGTTTGGAATATCTTTTTCCAGCCCTTTACTGTGAGGTAATGCCTATCATTGATATTGATGTGTGTTTTTTAGATTCAGCAGAGGGACGAATTCTGTTTTCACATCCATTCTGTTAGTCTGTCTCTTTTTACTAGGTAATTGAATCCATGATATTGAGAGGTACTAATGACAATGGCTTTTGATTCCTGGTATTTTGTTTTTGGTGGAGGTTGCATTGGTGGTGATGCTGCTGCTACATGTGTCCCTTCTTTTGATTTTCTAGGTCTCAGATCATTTATCCCCTGTGTTTTCATAGTTGTAGGTAGCCTCCTTAGAGTTTTCCTTCTAGCATCTTCTGTAGGGCTGAATCTATAAATAAATATTGCTTAAATTTGGCTTTACCATCAAATGTCTTATTTTCTTCATCTATGGTGATTGAAAGCTTTGCTGGGTATATTACTCTGGGCTGTCAACTGTGGTCTCTTAGTGTCTGCAGCACATCTACCCAGGCTTTTCTGGCTTTTAGAGTCCCCATTGAGAAATCAGCTACAATTCTAGTAGGTCTGCTTTTATATGTTACTTGGTCTTTTCCCATTGCAGCTTTTGATATTTCCTCTTTGTTCTTTATGCTTTGGGTTTTGATTATTATGTGCCAAAGGGACATTCTTTTCTGTTCCAAACTATTTGGTATTCTGTATGCTTCTTATACTTTTACAGGCATGTCCTTTGGGTTAGGGAAATTTTCTTCTATGATTTTGTTGAAAATAGTTTCTGGGCCTTTGACCTGGGTTTCTTCTTCTTCCTCTATTCCTATTATTCTTAGATTTGGTCTTTTCATGGTGTCCCAGATTTCCTGGATGTCTAATGTCAGAAGTATTTTAGATTTAACCTCTTCATTGACCAGTGAATTTATTTCTTCTATTGTATCTTCTATGCCTGAGATTCTCTTTCCAATCTCTTGTATTCTGTTGGTAAAGCTTGCCTTTCTAGTTCTGTTCAAATTCTTAATGTTTTTATTTCCAGAACTCCCCCCATTTGGGGAACTTTCAGTTTTCTTTATTGATTCTATTTCCTATTTCATGTCATGAACTGTTTCATTCATTTTCTTCCACTATCTGTGGTTTTCTTTCTGGATTTCTTTAAGGGATTTGTGCATTTCCTCTTTAAGACTCTCTAACATCTTTATATGGGTCGTTTTAAGGTCTTTTTTTTTCTTGTGCTTCAGCTATGTTGGAATTTTCAGGGCCTGCTGTGGTATGGTTCCTGACCTCTAACAGAGACATACTGTCCTGGCTGTTATTAATAGTGTTTTTAAACCCTGGTGTCTAGGCATCTGGGATTGGAATGATTATAGGTCTAGGTACTGGTATCTGGTTTTGTCTTTGTTGGGTTGGGTGTTTTGTTCCTTGCTTTTTGTTTCCTCTCTGGACTTGAGAAGAGTGTGAAGGATGTGTGCAGTTTGGTAGAAAATTTTCCATGAACCTGATAGATGTGGCCACTGAGGTTTCCAGGTGAAATGCGTTTCTGGGAATTGGGAGCAGACACTTAGGAATGAGGCTCGGCCGGTGGTCTGAAAGGGTTCACAGATCAGAGGAAAGCAGTGTGTCCGGCTGGGATCTCCTTTGTTAGTCTCCTTGGACTGGTGGCAGAGAGTGAAGAGAGGTCACCCCAGAAGGTCTGCTACAGAGCTGGGGATGAGACTGGAGAACTAGATCTGGAGAAATGAAAAGAGAAGAGAAGATCTGCAGCCAACATAGCTGCTTCCCTGACCTACTCAGCTGCTTTTTTCTCAGGGAATGGCTGCTGGAGTTGGAGGCTGGGATAAAGCAATGGCAAGGGAAAGGGAGATTAGGAGGGGAAGGTCTGTGGGATCCACAGGAGATGTGGGCAGGGCGCAGGAAAAGCTGCAGCAGGTGTTCTGTTGCAGAGTTCAGGATGAGACTGAGAAGTTGGATTTGGAAGAGAGGAGGGAATAGTGAAGGTCTTCAATTAGCTCACCTGTTTTCCTGGCCTGCTCAGCTGGTGTGTTCCCAGAGAATGCCTGCTGGTGTTAGAGGCTGGGGTAATGGGATGGATTGGGGAAAGGAGGAAAAGATCTTCTGATCTGTTGGGGTTGGAGTCAGAGAGGAAAGGGAGACTACAGCAGGCATTCTGTTGCAGAGCTGGTGAGGTGGTGAGACTGGTGGATTAGATCTGGAGGAGCTGAAGGAGAGTTGAAGTTTGGCTGTCAGCCTACCTGCTTCTCTGGAAGGAGTACAGATAACGCTTTTCAAAAATCAAAATCTCAGGCATTTTTATTTCAAATTTCTTTCTCTGTGACCTCATGGGCCCTGAATGATTTTTACCCGACCACCTCTAACTCTGAAACTCTGCTCGTCCACACCACTCTAATCTATGGCTTGCACTGAGTCACTGATCACATTTCCCCCTTATGGGGCATGAGGTGGACACACAGTGATCACCTTTCCCCTCTTCAATGAAGGGGGCTGAAGAACCTTGTACACATGAACTTGTAGTTGTCAACAGAAGTTTATTATGAAAATTGAATCTGGGCTTCAAAATTCTTTCTGAGATATACAAGAAAATGAACATACAAATGAGCTTGTTAAAATCACTTTCTGAGGCTGGGGAAGTAGCATGGTTTTCAGAGTGCTTGCCTAGCATATGCAAAGCCCTCAGCACCACATACATTGGACATGGACATAGTAATACATGCTTGTAATCCTAGCACTAGGGAGGTAGAGGCAGAAGGATCAGAAGTTCAGGGTCATCAAAGCCAGGCTGGGCTACATGATACTATCTCAAAACAAAAACAAAACAATATATATATATATATATATATATATATATATATTTCTATCATAATTCAACAAAAACCAGGTGGTTATTCTACTTAAACAAAGCTTGGAAACCATCTGTTTTTCATTAGGATTAGTAGCCAATTATTAATATTTCAGTTTCTCAGCTTCTGGAGAAGATACCAAAATGTGTCAATATTTAATTATACCCTTTCCCCTTTGGCTTAGAGGCACAGTCTCTTACCTACTCAGAAACAGCTTGGGAAATCACTATTGATCAACACACCTTGGCCTTAACATGGACCTTAAATAATTTTTCCAAGTTATGCTTTGACCAAAGAATAAAATCACAGATTAATTTGGGTATAGAAAACATCCCCCTTTATCCTGGGTGGTGGGGTTCATTCTTACTTTAAAGCAAGTAACTCAGAAAAGACCTGATTTTATTTTAATTCAGATGTACATTTTAATATGTGTTCCCTTGACAGTCTCTCACTTCTGAATTTATAATGCTGTAGTGATTTCCTGGGTACCATATTTCTAGTAGAAATCTCCTGATCAGCACAAGGGGCTTGGGTGTGTCTTGATTATGGTGCTTAGCTATGACAATATTTCAAATAGTACCTTTGAATGCCCAAAATATCTATCCTCTGGGTAGGAACCCATAGTAAATTCTAGAAAGATGAGTGCCCTCCTTTGGAGAGAAGCCTGAGGGTGGCACCTGGGAAGGGGCAGTGTAAGGAGGCTGCCAGCAGGCAGAGATCCTTGAGGCAGGATGGCCACTCTGACTGTTAGAGACTGAGGCCCTAGAAGTAAGTTGCCTCCACAGAGCCCAGGGAAGCCCATCTGGAGGATCAGCTGATAGGGCCTACCTGGAGATTTAGAGATGTCATCTTGATGCATCATCTTGAGTGAGTTATGTGTATTGAGACCCAACATTTCTTTATTCTCTTCCATCTCGGACACATCCCCCCATTTGTTTCCACAGAGATCACCCCAGATGGGGAGCCTCCAACACAGCCCTGGCAAGATGGCTGCCTCCTGTCTATGAAGATGGCTTCAGTCAGCCCAGAGGCTGGAACCCTGACTTCTTATATCATGGCTTCCCTCTGCCCCCGGTTGGTACTCATTTAGAACCTATTTTGGCACAACAGGAACAGGTTTCCATAATGGTAACATACTCCCCACAGCTTTAGAGGGTGATAGGCAACTACTGGGAGATTCAGTGTCCTTAGGGATTCGCACAACACCTTGTGTTCCCAAACTTCCTAAAGAGTTGGAGCCCTGGGGTGTAATACCTATCAATGAGGCTCTGAAGGTTAGCCACAGTCAGCTAGAGAGGAGAACAACAGATTTAAAGTCACTGTCATCTAATTTGACACCTTTCCTCTTGACAAGTACTTTAATATTCTCAAATAAATTCTTCTGGTCATCACTAGAAGACAAGATTCAGCCAAAGGCATGTATTGGTTAATGAATTCACTCATGTACACTATATATGTGCAGGTGCTGGCTACAGTTTTACCACCACAGGCACATTTATTTGGGAAATACATTCATTTCCTACTGATCTTTTGGTCCAGTATGTGCCATTGGGTCCATCAAAACATGGTCCATTCTGGCCCTACTTTGACTCTTCATATCAATGCATAAATCAACATTTGTTTTTATTCCACTTTTCGTAATAGAATTCTCAAAATGTATGATAGAAAGTACTCAGCCTGGCATAGGGAAAATCAGTACCAGAAGGGAATGGTTGGCCCAGTCAGCTGTGGACTGACACCTTTACCATCATAAAGTTCTCCAATGGAGATTCCGTTTTTTTCTGGTGTCTTTTTATTGAGAGGGTCAAGTGTTCCTAGAAGTTGGTGGATCTGGCAGGTGGAGTTGAGAACCAAGCTCTCTGAGAAAGTGTGATACTATGTCTACCCTTAAATAAGCTAGTAGCCAGCATGTGCACATATAAATGTATATGATGTGTTTTGTCCCAACCTGCAGGACATCAACCTGGAGCAAGAGAGTCAGGGATAGGGAATGGGGACAAGAGACACAGAAAGAACCAACACAAGACAGGATTCTGATCAAGTGGCAAACTTTACTTTTTTCTCAGGCTAGCTTATATAGGCTGCAGAGCAGGATATGGGGAAGGGTAGAATAGGTTGTCTGTGAGCCAGGTGTTAATGTAGGCAGGATATTAGGAAGCCACAAAGAGGATGTTTGGCAGGGTAAAAAGTTTATGAGTAAGAGGTCCAGGAAGGGTTGCCTAGTTTGGCTTTGGCTGTGGGTGGAGGACTGGTTCAAGTTGTTTCTTTTCTTGAGATGAGGTTCTAAGGAGCTCTGCTATGTAAAGGTTAACTATGTGGCCTGCCAAGCATGGCCTAGGATCTCATGTCAAGCCTTGAGATTTGGCTCCCAACAGTATTTGACACTGGACCAGTTCAAATTCTGAGGTCTTCTAAGCTCTGTACTGATATTAAGGTTCTACAGATTCATGTCTGTGTATATATATTATTATTTCAAGAATCAGCACTCAAGTGTGTTTATGTGTAGCCTGTTCATTTCTTGTTTTTATTATAACAGAGTAATCAAAGTTTACTGGCTCATGCTGATACAAATTTTTAATTCCAGTTCTACAGACTAAAAGCCTATAATCAAGGTGTTTCGTGACTTTGTCTTTTTAGAGATCCTTGGCAGAAAATCCATCTCCTTGACTTTTCCAAATTGGTTTGTGGATGGGGTGCTGAGGTTCAAGAACTTGTTTGCACATACAAGGCAGGTGCTTTTACTACAAAACCATCTCTTGAGCCTCATCTTTTCTAATTTCTAAAGGCTACACACACTCTTACTTATAATGTAATGTAGTATCTCTACCATGTCTACCACATTGTAATACAGTATCTCTCTATGTCTTCAACCTTAAGTCACAACTCTCTGACAACAGACAAAAAGATCCATGTGACCAGACTGAATATTCTTGGAAACCTGAAATAGTCTCATATATTCCAAGGTCTTTGATCTAACCACACATGCAGGTTGTATGTTATAAAACAGACATATTTGGAGGTATTATTCTGCCCATCATAATCTACTTTCTGATCCCCAAAGATTCATCTATATCCATCCATGTTCACTCACACCAAAGGTCCCACTTCTATCACAACACTCAAGGTCTAATGTCCAACCAAACTTTACCATTGTCACCAAAGGCATATAGGGAAAGGTTATGGGTGTGACTCACCTGGGAACAAATTCTCTTCCTTCTCAAACTGTGACTGGCAAAATGGCTCACCTGGAGAAAAAGCTGACCATGCAAGCTTGATTTTAGTTCCTATGACCCATGGTGGAAGGAGAGAGTCACCCTGTGAAATAAGGAAAGCTGTTTTCTGTTCCCAAATCACATCTTCCTAACAGTCGTGGTAACAGTCAGCACTGTCCTAGGATGGGGAGGGGAAAAAAGGAACAAAGAGGGAATGGCTGCTCCCAAACTTTGGGGAGATTAGCCAGACAACTCTTTAAGTACCAAGACCTTGGTCAGAACCCTACAATTCAGGGTGAAGTCACGGGCTATCCATGTTCTTCATGTACTTCCCACAGTGACCTTGAGAACTGACAGCTTTCTGTCCGCTCAGATTTCATGTGCACTTCCTAAGGTCCTGAGAAGTGACCCGAAAGGCCACAGACATCACAAATCAGGGGAAGGTTTCCAAGCCCAAATGTGCCTATTTTCCATCTTAGCTCTTCCATCGTGTCCACAGTGACAGGTCTTCCCAGGGCTCTCTGGAGCTGTGAACAAGATCCTCACTGTGAATTTAAGACCTCAAGGTCTCCATTATTGGCCACAGTGCAGTCTACATCATTCTAATCTGCTCTCTTCATCCAGGTACGGGAGGTGACAAGCCACCTCATTCAAGTTTCAAATGAGGCTGTGACAGAAGATGACCAGTACTCTGATTTCCTGACAGTGTGGGGACAGTACATCGATCATGACATTGCTCTCACACCACAGAGCACCAGCACAACAGCCTTCTGGGAAGGTGTGGACTGCCAGCTGACCTGTGAGAACCAAAATCCCTGCTTCCCCATTCAGGTAATTTCCCTAAACTCTTCACTGATTATGAAACAACATGTGCATATTTTAAAATTAAACAGAAAAAAAAAAACCTGAAATGAAATACAAAGTCTCCTTCCCATGTCATTTCCCCAGGAGCTTCCTATATATGCTCCTTAGATACTCATTGTACTACTGTGTATAAGACTATTTTGTGTGTAAAAATGATCCCACAATTCCCAGGCCGTGCCATGTGCATGCTCTGAACCAGGGATGGTCACTCAATAATAATTATTACCCCTTACTCCACATCATTTAATCAACACAAATTTATTTTATGATTTAATATTCTAAAAGGGCCTAAGAGCCCGAGGTGACATCTAGTCTCCCCTTTGCCACAGCTTCCCTCAAATTCCTCAGGGACCACTGCATGCCTGCCTTTCTACCGCTCCTCAGCCGCTTGTGGCACTGGGGACCAGGGAGTTCTCTTTGGCAACTTGTCTGCGGCCAATCCGAGGCAGCAGATGAATGGCTTGACTTCCTTCCTTGACGCATCCACCGTGTATGGCAGCTCCCCTGGCATTGAGAAGCAGCTGCGCAACTGGAGCAGCCCCGCAGGGCTGTTGCGAGTCAACTGCCCTTCGCATCTGCTGCCTGTGCTCCAGACCCTGGCGCCCCACGTGCCACCCGCACGCCTTGCTTCCTGGCTGGCGATGGCCGCGCAAGTGAGGTCCCAGCCCTAGCAGCAGTGCACACCCTGTGGCTGCGAGAGCACAACCGCCTGGCTGCTACATTCAAGGCCATCAACTCACACTGGAGTGCTGAAACTGTCTATCAAGAGGCTCGCAAGGTGGTTGGAGCACTGCACCAGGTGTGTGTCTCCGCATGGGCGGGGCGGTACAGACAGGGACTAGTGGGTGCCCCTAAGACGCATCTGCAAGGGTTCTGTGAGCACTCTAGGGGTGTTGGGGAGGGTCGCTGCGGGCTTACCACTGGCTTCTAGCGGGACCACCATGGTCTCTCTGAGTTTCTGGCAGAATCACCTTGCGATATTCAAGTGGGGACTTCTAAGGGACAAGTGTGTCTGAGCAAAATGCTCCTAGTACCAGGGTACTCCTCTATGCTCTGTTGCCCCAGCACTGGATCATCCAGAGTAACCATAGGGCCACAGACCTCCTACAACTGGGCTACAACGGTGCCCAGCAACAAGTCCCTTCATTGGCTGCTACTTGGTGACTGTAACTCACGGAGTCCCACAGAGTGTAGCCCCAATACTCCTTACAGCAGCACTATGAGGTGGGTACACAACTGGATTCTGGCATGTTTGTGTTTTGGTAATAACGGAGACCCTAATAATTTTGTCAAGTTAAATTAGGAATCAGTTTTTAAAACTGTTTTATTATTATTTTTTAAGTTAGAGGATCTTAAATGGAGATTCCTTTTGGTCATTTATCAGTTGTGTGACCGAGAATATCATATTAAAAAAAAAGAAAGAAAGAAAAACGTAGTACTGATTGCACAGTCTCCCTGGGTTGTTATGGAGGAATGAGCTATTTTACTCTATGCCACTGTTTCTCAACCTATGGGTCCGACTCCTCAAGGGGCTACATATCTGCTAACTGATATTAGGATATATAACAGTAGCAAAGCTACATTTGTAAAGTGGCAATGAAATAATTTTATGGTTGGGGTCACCACAACATAAGGAACTGTATTAAAGGGCAGAAGCTTTAGGAAGGTTGAGAACCACTGTTCTATACTAACCCTCCAGTGTCAAGTTAGAATAGGCTCTGTGTTAGGCACTTGGCATCACCCCTGTGTCCTCATAGAAACCCTGTGGGGAAGTGTACCCAGTGGTTTCATGTATCAATTTGACACAAGCTAGAGTCATCAGAAGAAGGAGCCTCAGCTGAGAAAATGCCTCCTTGAGATCCAGCTGTAGGGCATTTTCTCATTTAATGATCAATGAGGGAGGGCCCAGCCCGTGGTGGGTGGTGCCATCCCTGAGATGCTGGCTCTGGGTTCTATAGGGAGGTATGCTGAGCAAGCCATAGAAAGTAAGCCAGTAAGCAGCACACCTTCATGGCCTCTGCATCAGCTTCTGCCCCAGGATCCTGCCCTGTCTCAGTGAGGGTTGGCCAATCATCCAAGGAAGGGCCAAGGGACCCCTGCACACAGGTCTACAACTGACCATTCATTCACATGTACAAAAATGCTGTGATGAGTGGCCCTGGTTCCAGGTTTTTCCTTGGTAAATTTCTGTAGTATTGGTGGTGTGAGTCCTTTGGTATGCCCTTACACAAGCCCGGTAGTTGTAAAATAGTGTAGTGCTGCATATCTGAGGATCTCAACTGACCTGAACATTAATCATCCAGTGGCCTATTCTCAATAGGAAAGTGATAACTATCTCCATGAACAGGAAAGACGCTCTCAGATTTCTATATTACCCTCGCCAATCTAACGTTTCTTCCCGACTTGTATTTTTTAAACATTCCTATGGGTTGTGCCTTTACCTGATGGGCATTTCCCCTCCCACACCTCTGCCTGAACCTGGGGCTGTGTCCTCCTTTCGGAAGCTCACCAGTCCTGTGATATTCTATCACAAGGATGCCCAGGCAGACTTCCTCCCTGTTGCTTTATTTTTAATCTCCAGTTGACCTGCAGGCATCCTTGGGTTTTGCTGAAAACCTTCCCTGCTCAGAGTACACCTGTCTCTCTCTCTATAGATCATCACCATGAGGGATTATATCCCCAAGATTCTTGGTCCTGATGCCTTCAGGCAGTATGTGGGCCCCTACGAAGGCTATGACCCCAATGTGAACCCTACTGTTTCCAACATCTTCTCTACTGCTGCCTTCCGATTTGGCCATGCCACAGTCCATCCACTGGTGCGACGGCTAGATATTGACTTCCAGGACCACACAGACCTCCCCAGGCTGCAGCTGCATGATGTCTTCTTCAGGCCCTGGAGGCTTATCCAGGAAGGTATGACTTGATCCTACAGCTAAGCACAGCCAGTGTAACCCAGCCTGAGCCTTAACTTTCCATGCTGGATGGTTAAGTTAATGCTATCTAATTTATCGGTATTTAGAAGGCATAAATATATTCAAAGCCTTTTTTCACATATGTACCCATGAGGCATGTTTCTGTGTGTTCAGGTGTAGGTGCGTGCAAATACGGGCTGGAGGACAACCTCTGGTATCATCCTTAGGAAAACAATCCACATCCTTTGAAAAAGGGTGATAGGGGATGTCCTTCTGTATATGTTTCTCTTATTGATTGATGCATAATACACTGATTGTCCAGTAGAGGCAGGAAGATAGGCAGAGCTAGGAGATGAGGAGTATGCTGGGGAGAGAGGCAGAGAGGTGCTGTGAGGAGACTCCATGTAGACACTGGGAAGATGGGACATGCTAGGCCTTCTCTGGTAAGACAAGGCCATGTAGAAATACATAGATTAGTAGTTATGGGTTAATAATTAAGAGAGAGCTAGCCGATAAGAAGCCCTAGCTATGGGCTAGCCCAGTTTGTAAATTAACATAAGTCTTTGTGTGTTTATTTGGGGGCTAATCAGATGCAGGACCAGGCTGGAAAGAAACTCAAGCAACAAAAGGGTCTCTCGTTGACCTGATGTTCACCAGTTAAGCTAGACTGGCTGAACAGCAGACCATGAGAATCACCCTGTCTCTGCCCCCTCAATGCCAGAATGACAAGCACTCACCATCATACCCTACAATTATTCCCCTGGCTTCTGAGGAGCAAATTCAGATTCTTGTGCTTGCCTTGCATCACGCTTTACTGACTGAGCCATTCACCCAGTGCAGTGTTCAAAGTGTTTTAAAAGGTGAAATTTCCTAAGAAATGCCTTGACTCACATCTGGAGCTCTTCAGTACTCAGGATAAATTATCCAGGTATACAGCATTCTCTCTCTCTCTCTCTCTCTCTCTCTCTCTCTCTCTCTCTCCCTTCCTTCTTCTTTCTCTCTTTCTGTCTCTCTCCCCCCTCTCTCTGTCTCCCCTCCTCCCTCCCTCCCCCTCTCTCTCTCCATTCTCTCTTGTCTCTCCATTCTCTCTTGGCAGACAGATAAGTAGAAGTGTCCTGGCAGTCATGCCTTATAAATGGTGCTGTCATTTCTTCATCACCAAGTACTGTACCTGTTCTCTGATGAGACCAGCACTGTGCACTGCAGGATGTTAGCATTTGCAAAACACAAAACAACAACAAAACCCCTGAAATTCTCTGATGGTACTCTGGAGGTTTGTTGTCCTGCTTCCCCACATGTTTTCTTTCTACTCTTGTCTCCATGTTCTTTTCTCTCCCTCTGATAATTTCTTAGCTGTCTCAAACGTAAGTGCAGGGCAATGATGGCAGCTGACAGTGTATCTCATCACTTATACTCAAGTTGCTATCATGTAGAACATGAGGAGAGAGGCTTGGGGGTCTTCCCTAGACACCCTATCCAGTTCAAAATATATTATAAATTTGTGTTTGTTGGGCACCTAAGGGAACTGGCCTCTTAGTTGATGCTATTGCATGTAATTCCGGATCCATACAGCAAAGGGCAGGCAAGACCTGGGAACTGGCTGGTTTGCTTCCTTTGAGGCCTTCTGTGAGGATGACCCAGGCTTCAGCAGCAGAGCAAAGTCCTTGAGAAACTGAGAGTTTGCCAGAACAGGCCACATATCACTGCTCCAGACAGTGGATTCAAGAGACCATTTCCTTGGACTCTACATCAGAGGTTCTCATCCTGTGTACTGTGACCCATTTGGGGGTCAAAAGACCATTTCACCAGGGGTCTCACCTAAGACCATTGGAAAACACAGATGTTATGATTTGTAATAGTAGCAATTACAGTTATGAAGTGATGACGAAAATAAATTTATGGTTGGGGGTCATCACAACATGAGGAGCTGTATTTTTTTTTAGTTTGCATAGAGTTTTATTTCTTTTTTATTTTCACTTTTTTATTAGAAAGAAAAATATTTTACATGTCAATCCCAGGGCCCTCTCCCTCCCCTCCTCCCCTGTCCCCCCAACTAACACCCTATCCATCCCATACCCTTTCTGCTCTCCAGGGAGGATGAGGCCTTCCATGGGGGGGGTCTTCAAAGTCTGTCATATTCTTTGGGATAGGGCCTAGGCCAACCCCCTTGTGTCTAGGCTCAGGGAGTATCCATACTGATCCACTACAAGAGGCCCCATAGATTTTTCAAGGTCTCCTCACTGACACTCACATTCAGGGGCTCTGGATCAGTCCCATGCTGGTTTCCCAGCTATCAGTCTGGGGACCAAGAGTTTTCCCTTGTTCAGGTCAGCTATTTCTGTGGGTTTCACCAGCCTGGTATGGACCCCTTTGCTCATCACTCCTCCTCCTCTGCATCTGGATTTCAGTTCAGTTCAAGTTTTAGCTGTGGGTGTCTGCTTCTACTTACACCAGTGGCTGGATGAAGACTATACAATGGTATATAAATTAGTCATCAATCTCATTATCAGGAGAGGGCATTTAAGGTGGAGCTGTATTGTTAAAGGATTGCAGAATACAGAGTGTTGAGAACCACTTCTCTAAACATTCTGCTGCTGAAAAATAAATAACAATGAATCTCAGTGAATTGCCCCTGCCTATGTCTAGTCCCCAAGATGTTACATGTGCATCCATGGCACACAGTTGCCAATAACTGCAGTGTCCCAAGGAACAAGGAAAGCTTTCAGAGTTGCAAAAAGTAATTTGGGAAAGCTGTAGAGATGTTTGTTAAGAATAAACATGCTTTATAACTGAGAATCTACCCTTTGTCCCCAGAACTGACCAGGGGCCTAGGGACCACTCTGACTTAATGTATGGTATTTTTTAGGCGGTTTGGATCCAATAGTGAGAGGCCTCCTGGCAAGACCAGCTAAGCTGCAGGTACAGGAGCAGCTGATGAATGAGGAACTGACCGAGAAACTCTTTGTCTTGTCTAATTCGGGCACCTTGGATCTGGCATCGCTAAACTTACAGAGGGGCCGTGACCATGGCTTACCAGGTTTGTCAGGTCTCTAGATGGTATACCTGAGTATGGGCATTAAGAAAATTAAAGGTTAATAAGCCATTATGCAATCTGTCTTTGGAGGTCTTGGTTCCCCCTACCTGTTTATTAAGCATTTCTTTTAAAGTGGGATTAGATCTCTCAACAACTGCTTGTCCTGTAGAATTGTGTGGTATACCTGTAATATGCTTTATGTTATAATATTTAAAAAAAACTGTTTGTTACTAGAGACATATGGTGGAGCACTGTCAGTTTTAATTTGTGCAGGTATACCCATGATGGCCAATACTTCTAATAGGTGTGTAACTACAGAATCAGCCCTTTCAGAGCTCAAAGCTGTTGCCATTGAAATCCTGAAAATGCACCTATTGTATGGTGTACATATTTTAATTTTCCAAATTTTGAAAAATGAAACATATCCATTTGCCAAATATCATTTCTTTGCATACCTTTAGGGTTGCTTCCTGCAGGTAAAGGAGTTTGGGTATAGAAAGAACAAGCAGGAAAATTTTTCTTATGATTTTCTTGGCTTGTTGCCAAGTGATAGAGAAATCCTTTTTGAAACCTTTATTATTCACATGACTTTTTTATGAAATTCTGAGGCCTCCAGCATACTTCCTATTAATGGCCAATCAATTTCATTATTACCTTGTGCTAGAGGGCCTGGCTAGCTCATGAGCACCAAATGAGGATGTTATCAAGGGAATCCACAAGAGCCCAGAATAAAGAGAAGCCAGATGTTTATTGGGGAATCACTCACAATAAAGATAAAGCCATCACCTTTGTCTTCTGCCCCTGGAAGCACAGGAACCTGTGATCTGATCTGCAATCACTGCTCAAGAGTCCGAGAAAGCTCACATGTTGTACCAGAGACCTGAGCCCCAAAGGGCCGGTATCTCAAAGCCTATTGGCTGAACGAGTTCACACAAAATTTGTTGAGGGAAGGAATATCTGGTTCAGTGTCTTGTGTGAAGTGAAATAGACCACAAATCTCTTGCACTGCCAGCTTCAAAGGAATAGGTTTGTGTTCTTTGCTTGGCTGGCTGGTTTTTTTTTGTTTGTTTGTTTTTAGAAGATGTTTTGCTCTGTTGCTCAGGCTAGCTTCAAACTCATGATCCTCCTGCTTCAGCCTCCTGAGTAAATGGGATTATAGGTATGTACCAGGCCTAGAACTACATATCTGTATGTAAACTGACTCCCCTATACCCTTTGAGCTCCACAGAAGAGTCTATGTCCTTTTCTGTGATTTGCACTTGAGATGTCTTTTCTGATATGTTTCCTTGTATGCCCTGGGTACAAGTCCCAGTGTTCAAAGGGCATTCAACTATAGAACTGCAGTCTCTCCCACGACCCTGATGGAATCCCTACCACAGAAGTCTGTGGAACATCAGTGTTCCCCGGGAACTACTACATTGATGCTTTGTCTAACCCAGTGACCCACTCACAGGGCCAGTGTCTGGTGCCCTCTGCCCTATGTATACACAGCAGAAAAAGCCCTAAATGCAGGTGCTATTATTGTGGCTGATCTTCTGAAGCTGTGATTGCAGGATGAAGTTGGTGCATCCCTCTGTATCAGTCTTCCCTCACCACAGCCTTCAAAAGGATTGTAGCAACTTGGATTTGAAGAGCAAGTATAAACTGGGAAGATATAGAAAAGTGTCCCTTCTGCTTGGGTTGAAAGACCACACATCTGTGCTTCACCCTGAATTCTAGGTGCCCTTATGTCTCTGATCTGTAGAAGCATGTATCTGCTGCTCATGGCCCAAATTTCTGAGTACAATTTACTCATGCTTTGTTCCTCAATTATCCTGAAAGTAAATGATCCTTCAAGTATAGATTTAATGAAGTAACTTCTATATTCCCCAAACTCTGTGCCAAGCAGTGGGAATATATGTTTTATATAAATCAAATTCACTGATTTTATTTTGCTTGTCATGAGATTATGGAATCTAGGAGGTCTCCTAAAGCAGACTGTGATAAAGTGGAAACGTGATGGGATTCCTCAGAACTGGGGAGACAGGAAAGGAGGAGGCTGTCATTTTGCTAGATGGCTCCTGAGAAAGATAACTGAGGTGACCTATCTGGGATTAAAGAACTAAAAGGGGACTTGCCAATGAGTTACCACCCACCAGGCCCAGCTGTGTACAGCAGAGCTTGAGTTGAGGTAGAACAGTCTTGTTGGCCAGGAAGCTCAGGAGTCATGGCTCTGAAAAAGGTGGTATGATGCTTAGCTGCATCAAATGCACACATACATACACACGCACACACACACACACACACTATTAATCAGACACAAGCTTCTCCTGAATCATAATGGAGGCAGAGCTACCATCATTGAGGATTGACTCAATACCATTGGATGGCAGCATTCACAAACCAGCTTTAAAACTCTCACTGATGACTTTTCTTCACTTTGTCTTTTATTTGCTGCAACCTACTGCCTCTATGTTGTTCTCTGTAGCTAGGAGCTCCCAACCCCCCTTCCAAAGCTCAGCAAGGCTCTTTGTACTTCAGCATCCCTTCTTAGGCTACCCAGAAGATGCAAGATCATTTCTTCAGATTCTACTTTATCCACACATGGGATTCACTATGAGTCCAAAGTTTTTATGCCTTTTAATGCCTTGCTACCCCTATGGAGACCTGGCCTGGTCATCCCGGCATTTCTTTGTGTGTGTTTATGCAATACTTGTTGAGGGTCAAGATGTGGAAGGCAGCAGAGATAACACAAGGCAGACTCCAGTGGGATACAGATGGCAGAATGCACAGGCAAAGGGAATGACAAGGAGCTGCACTGCCTGCTGAGTCCTGCAGCAGACTGTGACTGGCACTTCCCATCAGTGTCAGGAAAAAGAGTGACTTATGGAGGAAGTCCACATGAGGAGGATGAGGGCAAAGGCAGCCCACAAGGAGGATACTGTAAGATCAGATCATTTGTCCACTGGAGAAAACAGCCCAGCACAGCCAGAGTGTGGCTTGTAGATACAATGACAGAGTGAGAGATGATGGGGCCATGAGGCCAGGGCAGGGCTTTGCCAGCAATGCTGAGCTCACTCTCAAGCATGGAAGATAATCTACAATATTAGAAAGTCAGACAAGGGAAGATGGGCATGTACATATGTATATTCCCTCTCTCTCTCTGTGTGTGTGTGTGTGTGTGTGTGTGTGTGTAAGTGTGTATAAGAGTGTGTGTGAGAGTGTGAGTGTGTATGAGTATGTGTATATGTGTGTATAAGAGTGTGTCTAAGTGTGTCTGAGTGTGTATAAGAGTGTCTTGTGGGAGTGTGTGTGTGTGTGTGTGTGTGTGTGTGTGTGTGTGTGT